CTTAAATACCCACGGTTCACTTGTGATATAGTACGACAGCAATGACTGTTGAAATGTAGATCATATGTACTGCATATCATGCAGTATAGCTTAATTTCTCCCATAAAAAAGTATTCATGCTGGATAATTACTGTTATTCCTCACCCATGGTGGAATACAACTGTACTCCGCCTTATGAAGTTTTACTATTTAATTCTCACATATGTTTTCATTTCTTATATTTTAATAATTGTTACAAGATTGAATAGACCTGTGCTGTTGCTAGTGATAAGAACAGTCTCTTCCTCCTGGTTCTCTGAGAATAAACTTTCTTTGTCACGACTCACATTAGACCCTTCTTTGCCACTTCTTCCATTCTGGTTCACTCTTTTTTGCCATAACCCTTTGTTTTCATTTTCTCTCTGAAAAAGCATATTGAAGTTTCCGAAGCTTTCAGGCCCATACCGCATACCTGTGTCTTGAGAAATAGTTAGACGCAATGAAGGAAGTTTGATATCTTTGTAATGATAATTTAATGGCCATACTACTTGATGTTAGAAAATTCCTCAAAGTGAAATAGTCAGAATGAGATTACAATGTGTGCAGTCATTAAGAATATCTGATAGGCATGCCATGAATCATATATTAAAATGTGTTCTGACTTCAATTTAAAGCATTAGTTTAAACAATTCTCTATAGAATAAATAGTATCTTGACCTAGATTTTGATTATTATCTTTCATTCAGTCTCAGGACCTTCAAACTCACTTGCCTGAGGCACTCGTGAGCTCCAGGTTTTTCATGCTCATGAAAGAAAGATAAGAGTCACTCTTAAGAAGTGAGAAATCCAACAGTAAAAACGCAGTGTGAGGTTATTTTAGTTTCCTTTAACCAAATCATGCTTTGTAGACCCTTAGTTTATGATTATCAATCTATCTTATTTTTTAAACCATAATCCATAAAACTTAACTAGCTGTCATGTGTTAGCACTGATACAAATAAATGGAAGAGAGGGTATAGTTTAAATGGACCCCTTTAGGTAATTTTATGTTAGAGGAAAATACTTTTAACTATCAAAACAAATGACAAATCCCCACTAAGATTTACCATTCTGGAAGCTCACTATCAGCAAACAGCATTACCCCATACTTATACATATTTAAAGTTACTCCCATACTTATGCATAATACAATTTCCTGTATTATCTTTCTTCCAAAATACAATCTCCCTTCCTGTAATGATCAGTCTATTCCCCAAAAGGTGTCAACCCAAAATCCTACCTGTTACTGTATTCAGATCCCAGTCCAAGATCATCCAATAATGTCTGATCTTCCTCAAGTTCTGGTGTGATTCCATCTCCATCTTTGGGCTAGATGCAAGTTTGTTTCTGCAAGTTGCATGTTTGGGTATAGATTAGTATGCAGAATTTTCCTTCTCCACTCTATGTTTTCTTTATTTTTTTCCATTTATTACCTCAGCTAATCAGGTTCTTTTCCTGATGAAATAACTTGAAACTTCAAATGGATATAAGCCCTAAGTACTCCATATATGTGAGATTTTTGTGTCTTCTAATATCTTTAGCCATTAGACACAGAAGCTCTGGAAGGAAGTACAACACTTCATTTACCTTCTCCCTTTGTCTTGGTAGCCATGATGAAGCATCTTATTTAATTCCCTAACCCCTCTAGGAGCCTGAAATACCAAGTAGCAGGCTCTGCATCCCGTTCATGGAAACAAAATAAGACCCTAGTAGAATAGTCTCTCCCTTTGGTACTAAGCACTGTAACTCAGCACATCTTAGAATCCTGTTGCTGAGAAGTAAAGTTTCGCAAATGGGATATTATTAGGTGTAATATCAAACAGTACCACTTTCTCTTTTACCTTTTAGATTCTGTGGACCCACCTCTCCTGGTCCCACTCTGATTCCTGGTTCACAGTGCATGCGGGTGCTGTGGGACAGCACCCCAGTCTTGGAAAGCAGTGTATGCCGACTGGCGGGTAAGTCTTCTGTTGTTTCTTTCTATACTGCTATATATGGGTATGGGTAAAAGCAGCAAATCCATGAGTACTAATGAACCCTCCTACTTCATCCCCTAGAAGCTATTTATGTTGTGGTCATAAATAAAACAGTTATAAGTCCACAGGCGATGCTACTGCCAGAAGTATAGTCAGTGGGCAGGCTAATCTATCTATAGAATCCATGTCTATTCTAATTTGGACAAAATGCTGTCTCCTCTGTGATGCAGCGGGTATAATATGACGAACTTGCTACCAACTGGTGGGTTGGCCTTTCCAGCATATGGCAGCCCATCAGGAACACGGGGTTGTTTGTTGCTGCTTGTAAAGTGGGCTCTTGGTGGTGGCAATGTCCAGGTCATCCCTGGTAAGGCCGCGTCCTTGCTCCTCTGCCTGTCCGTGTGTAACCTCCACTCCTACCCTACTGTCACATTGTCCATAAGTTGTCAAGTGAGCACCAAAAGAAATTCACCCCCCTCTGAGCAGGGAAGTTTGTCTATCTGGTTATCAATAACCTCTTCTCTCCACTCTGGGTCCATTTTAAGTTGTCTATCATATAATTCTTTCATATCAGCGGTCCTATTCCTTCTAGGTCTCTGATCAGTCAGGAAGCCAAAGTAGCCCAGTGTCTCTCTTGGGAATGGTTTGGCCTTACTGCCTCGGTTGCACAAATGTTGGGAGGGACCTGTGGGAGGCCTGCAGCCACACATTTCAAAACATCGTTGCTTTCAAAGGGCTCACTATCTCTGGGGAGATCATATATATCAACCACCGTGCAAAGTGATACTCATAAAATAAAAGTAGATTGAAGAGGAAGGAGTAGAGAGAAGAGATTCATTATATATGGCAAAAGGAAGGACTGTTCTAGAGTCCACAAAGTTTTCAGAAGGGCTGAGTCTGTACATAAAATTGCATTCGAAACTGATGTCCTTTTGTTATGGAAAACAATCAATTTTCTTTTCTGCTTAAGTCAATTTCGGTCAGGTTTTCAGTCACTTAGAATTCCCTAGAAGTGGGAAATCTTACACTATGCAGAAAGAGAAGGTATTTGTCAAAGGACTGTGAGAAAAATCAGCAAGGGGAAGTATAAGGTCAAAAAGCAGAAAGGGATCACCTAGAAAGCCAGGCTACAAAAGCCTCTTGTGAGAAAGAAGGTGCATGGAATTCACAGTGCTCTCAGTTGAAAAGGCAGCTAGGCCAGAATTCTCACAGGGCACAGTGGGGTGCATTACTGATGCTGCAAGCCGGGAGATGCTCTCCTGACAAAGAAGCGGCCCTTCTGGTGTGGGACATGCCTGGAGCCCATTATAGGAATTCTAATGATCAATAGAATGTATGATGTAAACATGCTTGGTGGAAATAACTTAGTTATTTGCTGTAGCAAATCAGATGTTAGAACGGAAGTGGTTGTTATGCTGGTACTCCCAACAGAATCTATTTATGGTTAATGGGATGACTTGGGTGAGCCTCCTGCTGCTTACTCTGCTACAGTGGACAACAGCAGGTAAAGACAAAAGCCTTTTCTTTCTGGCTTATTTTGCTGAGCATGATCCCTTCCAGCTCCATCCATGTTGCTGCAAATTGCATTTGAGTTTATCGGTTTTGATTGCTGAGTAATATTCCATTGTGTATATGTACCACATCTTCTTGATCCAGTCATCTATTTTTGGGCATTTGCTTTGTTTCCATAGCTTACCTATTGTAAATAGTGCTGTTATAAATATAGGGGTGCAGATACCGGATGGTCTCACTCATAGCAGGAGTTTAGATAACCTAAATAAGGGACCAGGAAAAAGAATAACCATAAAAAAGAAAACATCAAAATCAACAAGCAACTATAAACCAGAGACACACTACAGGGGCGGTGGGGGCGTTGCGGAGAGGAGGGATTAGGGTCAAAATAAGGGGGGTGCAATTGTATGGGGACTATAACCAAGATGAAAATGCATACATTGTGCAAAAATGAAAAATGATGTAAGAAATTATAAAAAATCAAAAAAAAAAAACAAAAAGAAAGTCTTGCTCTCCAACACATTTCTACTTGAGAAGGTACAAGCAACAAACCTCGCTCCTGCCCTCTGTATGGATGAGACAGAGCAAAGGTGTCATTTCCTTGCACTTACATGTGAGGAAAAGGAAAAAATGATGGGCTGAGAGGAACAGGCTGACACTCTGTATAAATATAAAACCCTGAGCTCCAGGTAGATATTTAAGAGGTAATAAGAACAGGATGCAGGAAGAGTTTCTGAAAGAGACCTTGAGTTGTTCACCCCAGATCAAAATTGTATTGTTTTTAGAAAGGCATTTGGGACAGGGTAAAGATGGCTCTTATTGCGACAGGGTCTGAGGGAAGGGCCTCAGGCCCTAAGGGTTATAAGGAGCCAAGCCCAGGGTTCTTTTTCCCATCAATCCTGCGAAACACAAGGAAATGTAAAACATCGAGAAGGCAATGCGGTGCAAAAAATGACAGATGGGCCTCCCTGGTGGCGCAAGGGGTTAAGCACCGCACTATGAGGCAATCCACAGCCTTTGCAGCACAAGTTCGATCCCCGGCCAGCCAGGGAGCAACCCACATGGTGCAACAGACCATGTCTCACCCGCTGCTCCCCTCAGCAGTGTATTTCAGTCAGTCTGCCTGTTCTGCTCCCCACTCTGTCTCTGGTGAATCCTCTCACCCAGCCCCCCTGCATCTCTGGCCTGTACCCCAGCTCTTGTATGCATAAATAAGTAAATCTTAAAAAAAAAAAATTATCCAGGGAGGCAAATCCGAGGCCCCTGGGTCAGGTGAACTGGTTTCTGAAAGATGGGTGCATCTGAGAGCAGCCTGGCTTCAAAACCGGGCTGGGTCTGGAGTAACCCCACTTTCCTGGCCCCCGCCCAGCCCTGCACGGTCCTCCGTAGGCTCCGCCCAAGAGGGGAAAACGGCCCAATCACGAAGCCCGGCCCGGCCCAGCCCCGCCCCCCGTAGCCCTGGAGACGGTCGCGTCCCCTTCGGGCGCCGGCTGGGCCCTGTGCGGGTCTCGGAACCGTCCGGGAGGAGGGGCGCGCCGGCGCCAGCACCCTCCTCGGGTCGGGGAGACGATCAGGCGGGAGCGAGACCAGAGCCGCCCTCAGGGCCGGTGCTCCGAGGTGCGTGAGGCTCCGGGCTGCACCTGCCCAGGTGCTAGGACGGGGGTTGGGGGGGCTGTGCCTCCAGACGGGGCGCCCCGGACCCGGCCACCTTCCTGAGCGAAGCCCACCCCAGTTGCTGGGGATGCTGGAGCGGGAGTTCTCGGCCAGTTCGCAAGACCCTCCGAGAAAACGGAAAAATAAACAGTTGCAGGAATAAATCTATTAGTACTGCTTTAAACTAGGGGGTAGAGCAGAGGAACTCCATCTCCCCGAAGTGGGAGACGTCACACTATTGTTATTCCTCATGTCACGTCTGTGTTGGGGTGGCTGGGCACATGCACTTCAGAGGTACTGGCATTTCACTGAGTTGGTTTCTCCCGAAGTGTCTGTCAAGCCTTGGGAACTGTTTTCAAGTTCACATAAACCACAGTGGGTACCTGGTACTTGTAGGAATGACTCTGATTCCATGATTTGGGGCAGGGTCAGGAGTTGTTCTCTTAACTAATTTTTAACTTTTTTTTAACCTTCTTTGCTATGGTGCTTTGCTTTCTGATATTCAGGCTGAAGTCTGCAGAGGCCTTCAACAGCAATCTTAAATGTAAGTCAAATGAAACATGACCTACCTCCAAACATCTTTCCTGCTTTATATTTTTCTTTAACTATTAATGACAGTCAGTGGGTAGGAAATGTATAATTTCTATTTCTTTAATAACTGTCCACTTAGTTACTTATGTCATAGTTTTAGAACTCTATCCAGAATGTATGATACAAAGGATAAACATTGACTCTCGAAACTACTTAGTATGACTTTTTTTTTTACTTTTCAGAACCTCTCCTCTGTAGTTTTAAAGTTTCAGAGTAAAGGAACTTGTAGTAATAACAAAAGTTCTCATTCTTACATATGATTTCATGGTAATAGTAAAAGCGTATTTATTTTGAACTGTCTTGATGACAAGTCATAAATTTGCTTGCTGTGGCTTGTTGACTTCATTATTCAGATCTCAGCTTTTACCCCATGTGACTGGATTCTGCAGACAATGGTCAGCCTCAAGCATAGCTAAGTTCCCAAGTAGCCTCTGTCCACACAGTGCGAGGCCTGCCCTTATTTCGTGTTTCCCAGTGCGGGTATCTCTGGGAGTAGTCGGCAAAGAGGGTTACTCTTTGAAGAATTTGACTTGGGGGCCAGAAATTTAAACTCACACCAAGGGACAGGTACAGCCTGACCCAGCACCCTCAAACCTTTCATCCTGTATTTTACCATTCTCATTTGTCTTTGTGTGGGGGCACCAAACTTAGACACTGTAACTGTGATGCAAGAGCCAACCAGCAGATCAAAGAATCCACCAAATCTCTTCTGAATAGCCACAGTGGGATGGCTTCAGGCGGCCTTTTGATCTTAGGCTCAGCACCCCTGGTGCCATCGGTAGCATGCCCACTTGCTGGCACTGGGGGAACTGCCTCCAGGTCCTTCCTAACAGATTGCTTCACCCTGAGCTCCTGGGGCTCAACCCATTTTGAGACCAGCCAGAGAAGTATCTCTTCTCCTTCTCTCTTGCCTGAATTGGGGCCACTGTCCTTCTTGCAGTCACGCCATCTTGAGTGATCTCTTCTGTGGTCTTGAGCTGGTGTTCCAGGGCAACCCCAAAGGGACACAGGATGGCCTGGGTGTGAGTCCTCATCACGAACTTAAAAAAACTCAGGGCAAGATCCAAGTGCAGGAACTCAGAGAAAGGTTGAATAAGAGGTGTATTTACAGGGGAAATGAGAAGAGGGGGGAGCACAGAGAGAGTGATTAACTGGTCAATATGTCCTACTGGTAATGTCGGAGCTGGGACCCCAGTGCATTGAAGGCAGGCAAAACCCAAACTCACATGTGTTCAGTTTTATGCTCAGCATGGCTGCTTAACTCCACTCCTAGTTCCCAGCTATCCCCCCTTGAGTTATGGCAGATTCATGACATGATGGGTGCTGTAGTCCTGAGCACCTAAGATCTCTTTGGCACGGAGGTGGGGGTACAGCCCATAAAACATCAGGGGTAGAGTTTATTCAGAATAAATAAATAGTATTATAAATAGTATTATTTATACTATTCCCCCAACACTAGGAGAATCCAGATGAAGATCATTGTCAAGGACGAACTGTACCATTTCTGCTTGAAGCCCACCTCAGTCATTTTTTAGCACGAGTCCTGTTCCTTATGGTGAGAGCTCACCTAGGCCATGGGAATACTGTTGAGCCAACACCAGAAAATGATCCCATTCACATTAACAAAGAAAAAAGTTTTTCTTCAGTCTACAGGTGTAATTTAAGCCTGAAATGACAGACACCCCCAAGCACACTTGCATTTTTCCTAACGTATATTCCCCTTGGCTACTTTTCTATGCTAGAATGTAGCTGCTTCCTGCTTTAAGAAAATTCAGCATAAATTAGATTAGACTTATAAATCATAAAGGAGATGGTGATTACTTAGATAAGAAAATAATTTGTTACAGGATTCTTTTAAATATTTGATAAATTTCAAATATTATGTGTGCCATAAAATTCAGTGCACACATTACCTGTAAAATAAAATATCTTTATGTGGCCAAATGTCGATTGTGAAAAACAAAACCTCTTTCCCAACAGGCATAAGCAAGGGAGGGAGTCTGTTCAAGGTGCACCCTAACTCTGAGCTTGAACTTTGCAACATAGATTGGTTGAGGGGTATTTTTTTTCCAACTTGCCATTAATAACTTTTTTCCACTTCATCATTCAGCTCTGACCGCCCCCCATTCAGAGTTTGTGCCTTGAGGCTTGCCAGCAGGGCTTGCGGTGCTAACATTAAACTAAATTTAAGAGTAAAGGTGCACCTGCTGCTAATGTTCTCAGATCAGAGGAGAGCAAAATGAAGGAACTGGCAGCTGAAACTTTAATGGTAGGAAACATTGACTCCGATTTTGAAAAAATCATAGTCGATCCATGTGACAAAGAAGACATGTTCCTTTCTATATATAACATTTGCATTTGATGTCATTCGATGCCTGTATTTTCTGGTAAAAAATTATCTAACCCAAGTAAACATCAAAAAAGATAAATATTAGATCACGTACTGGTGAGGCAGCTGCTGGGGGGACTTATGCACACCTAGATGGGTTATGTTGGCTGGATCAGAACTGCTGGTCATATCCCTCTGTCTGTCTGCATGTAGCTGAATCATCCTACTATTTGGATGTGTCCTCACTCCATGCTGAACCCCCCAAAGACCTCTGCAATCATTCAGAGATCATCCTTGCCCCAATGTCCTTGGTAGGCAAAATGAGGATCTCAGAACAGAGTCTTAATTCACTGAGGATGGAACTCCCTGACTGAAGCAAGCATTGTTTCCTTCTCTTCATTTTGAAATCCACCAAGGATAGCACAGATCAGAGGGAAGAACAGACATGGCAGAAGGAGACAGACACCTGATGATTTCACTCATATATGGAATATAGCAAAACAAAAGATCTGACCAAACTAAAACAAGACCAACCCTAGACATTCCCCAAAATGGCCACACAGTATTGCCTCGTCCTGTCTCCTCTTACAAATGACTTTGATGCGCTTATCATTGCGGGGATCTGTGTTCATTAGATTTGAATCTGGGTAGGCCTGTTACCACAGCAGGAGCCAGGCAATGTGCCTTCCAAGGTCAGGCCCCAAAAGTGGGTACAGCGTCTGCCTGACTTTTCTTTGGGAGCCCTGAGTGGCTCCCCAGGGAGCTTGAGGATTCCATGTTCAGTGGAAGACCAAGTCCCATAAGGAAGCCAGGGGTGTGGGCTCTGCAGACAGCCCCAGCTGAGGTTCCAGCAAATGGTCAGCATTAGGCCCCTGATATATAAGTAGTGACGCAGGTGATTCCTGCCCCCACCATTGAGTTACCCCCAGACTTCTTAGTCTTCCCGGCTGCAGCCCAGTCTTCATGGAATAGAGAAAAGCTTTTCCCATCATACCCTGTCCTAAACCCTCACCCACACAGAATGTGAAAGATCAGAAAGTGGTGGTTGTTTTAAGCCCTCATTTTAAAGTCATTTCATTTTGAAGTTATTTGTTACCCTGTTGTAGTTGGGGGCTCTCTCAGGGCACCTGACTCCTTGTTGAGAACCTTTTACTTCTAAGAAAAAGCCTTTATTTAGAAGTGACAGGGTTTTTAGAAAACGGCAGAACATGAGCAATTTTCAATTATTGATCGTACCAGGAAAGCGAAGCGTGATGCTTAGAAATCCATCGTGAAAAGTAAAACTCTCCACTCTTTAATTGCGACTGTGTCCCTAAACAACTCATACCAATGAATCTTCGATTCATTTATCACACTCTCTTCCCATCCACTTCGTGGTGGAGATGCAGGCAATAAATTGGCCAAAAGGCACATAGTAGAAGAAAATAATGAGAGAAGCAACCTGCAGAATCCGCTCACTGAGCGTCGTTCCTGAATAATGGAGCTGTAGCGCTGCACGCCGAGGCAGCTCAGTTCAGATGACAGACTGGGGGGCTCTAGTCATGGTTTAAAGGATTCTTTGAAAGATTTATTCTTTGAAATACCACTTCTGGTTTTGTCTTGTAGTCCACAATGACCACCCTGCCCCCACTGCCCATGACGCGCCCAAAGCTGACCTCCTTAGCCAGACAGAAGCTGCCATGCTCCCCCAGATCCATGCCAAGGTACGTGTCCCATTCCCCTTTTTTTTCCTAGAGAAGGAATTTCTTGCAGTAAGAAATGTCAATAGCAGATCTCAGAATATTCAGAATATTCAAATTTGCTGTTTCAAAAGGATTTAAGACCCCAGTCAAAGCCTAAGAATATATATGTATTTCACAATCAAGTGGTTAATTGATCATTTTATTTCCTATTCCTATTATGTCCTGGCTTCTTAAAGCTTCTGAGATGCATTTCCTTTTTCAAATGTGTGTGGAGAACAGAAAGCAGAAGCTTTAGGAATGAAAAGGTGTAGGGCTTCTGATCCACAAGTTTCAGGGTGCTGGGCTCTGTTCTGGAGGGAGGAGAACACACGTTTACTACCAGGCTGGATGGGCAGGCATCACTTAGCCCCTGAAATGATCCCGGGACCCGAAAATGCATCATCCAACCACCGCTGCCTGGGAAAGGCTGCTGAGCTCCTGGAGGAGCTGCAAGAAATTATAGGACAGAGAGCTCCATGTGCTTTGTGATAATTAATGAATGTTAATTAAGGTTGTGTCATTTAGAAATTGTCATTTCTAGTTTTAGTGATTTTTAGTAATGCATATATTATTTATCAGTATAAATAATTTGCATGTTAGGTTTGATTATTTCCTCTGTGTGCATTCTTTTCAATTCCTGCAAGATGTAATGATCAAAGTAGTTTGAGACCACTTTGTTTTGAGAAGGATCAGACCTCATTGTTAGTATCTCTGGGGAAGGCCAAAACCTCTGGACCAAAAGAAATACAGTCACCTGAACTGACATAAAAATTCTTTTATAATAGAAATTTGAGAAAAGTTTTCAATATGTACATAACTCAGATATACATGCATTCTTGTTTTTCACTTTGCTTTTGAATATGTGAAATATTCACGAAGTCTGAGAAAGCTTGTTCTTCCTGTCTTTTTTAATGATTGAGATTACATTTTCTTTGCAACAGGAGCAGAAATATAGCCCCTATCTCACATCCCCAAAATAAGATAGATTTTTAAAGAAAACTTTTTCTTATATTTATTTTATTAAAGAACACATTTACCCTAACTATTTAAGACAAAGCTTTGTATCAATATTCTCCCTTAACTTCTGAAAAAAAGAAAATTGTTTAGTACCATATTCTCACAGTTATGAGATGTTAATAGTATCCTTATTTTAAAAGGTGCCGGGTATCTGAAGAATGAATATAATATGCATATATTTCTCAGTAAAGTCTTATTAAAAATCTGTAAAACCAAGTAAAGTCTTCTTGGAACACTGGATCTTTGCACCTTGGATTTTTAATAGTAATTTGAGGGTTTTTTTTTTTCACATGAGATTAAAAAAAAAAATTCAAACAGCACTTCAAAACAAGCTTTGGTAATGTTTGGATCAAAAAATTATAGAGATTTGTATCAAAACAGGTCTTTTCGGGCCTCCCCGGTGGCGCAGCGGTTGAGCGCTGGGTTGCGAGGCTGCCCGCGGCCTCTGCGGCGCCGGTTCGATCCCCGGCTGCTCCCCGGCCACCGGAGGAGGGTCCCACATGGCGCGCAGACCTCTCCTGCCGCCCGCTGCTCCCCTCAGCAGTGTACCTCGGTCCTTCTGCCTGCTCTGCTCCCTGCTCTGGCTCCGGTGAATTCTCTCGCCCTCCCGCGCTTCTGACTGTATCCAGTGCATGTATAAACAAAACAAACAAACAAATAAATAAAATAAATAAAAAACATGCCTCTATTAAAAAAAAAAAAAAAAAACAGGTCTTTTCTTAGTTCCAGATCCTGCGCAAAACAGAATATGACTCCTGTGATTGAAAAGTTATGCTGTGAAATAAGATGAGTAAAATGGAAGGTCTTATAAGCTTTGAGGAGAAATCTCCATTTATTTGAGAATGTAGATTATTTCAATGTATTGGCATTTTATTTGTTTACACTCTGGGTTTAATATTCTTCCCTAATTTGCCACCTGAGAAAATTAAAACTTTAAAATGATCAATCACTGATCTGCACTCTTAGTATTGGCCAGAATTTTGAAATACAAAGACTGACCCAGAAACTGATCCAGATAAATGGAGACTCAAGTCCCATGACAATAGAATGCTATGAATGGACTTGCATTTTCATTTGCTGGGAGGAACATTATCTGGATAGTAGGTGAAATATAAATAAAGTCTGTGGAATAGGAACTAAAAAAATAAAAAATAAAAAAAAATAAAATGATCAATCAGCAATTAATTCTTTAACAATTGAAGAACATGTATTCTATATGATATTATACCCTGAATGCTTCTGTCCTGGTAGCATTTTATATGTTTGGTAGCTTTTCAACTTGATAAGGCGGTGCTTTATTACTTCCTCCCCTTTCATTTAGATCTCAATTGATCAAAGAAAAAGATGACATAGATCATTATGTGGAGGTGAATTTCAAAGGATTGTCAAAAGAGGAGGTTGCTGCGTAAGTATCACCTCTTAAAGGTACTTTAATATAAAGTTTGTTTCTTTTGTCTTGATTCTTTATTGAAATTGCAATTTTCCTGTGCGATACCCTTTTTCACTGGAACGTGGCATTTAAAAATTAAAGCTCATTAAATAGTGATAGGTCATGTCTATTGATCTTTCACATATCAAAGTCTTTAATTTTATAGCTTTCCAAATTCTCATATTTACCAAGATATTATAAATTTGCAATATTTTAGTTAAGTCTGTGCTATTAATTGCTTATTAACCTCTATTTCAAAGAGAGTTGCCTGGGATGGGGAGGGCAGAATCTTTAAGAGAAATATTCATATTTTTTTTTCTTGGTCATTAAAACAATAATCCCATAGTAATGTATTTTCTTTCCCCCACCAAGAGCTCACAAAAAGATTTAATGGATCATAGTTTATCGGTTAGTTCACAAATAATTCTAAAATGTCTGCATTTTGTTTTGTTTCTTAAATGAACAATTTCAACTTAGTCATTTTACGATTAGCTAAAAAATAAATGTGGTGTATATAAAAACAGTATACGAACCCGTGTAGGTTAGTGAAAAATGAATAGAAACCTATGATAAAAACTGAACAGGTTCAATATTTATTACCTTCAGGCCTTTAAATGTAAGCATTGAAAATATGGAAATATTATAAATGTGCAAACATCTTATGGAGGTCATTGAAAAATTAAAATATTTTGTGCAGTAAATGCTTTTAAAAAGTCTACAAGTGCTGTCTAGTTAATGAGAATCCACTGAAAGAGTATTCTTAGTGATATATTTGGTATAAGTTTCATGTATTTTAAAATTCTGTCTCTTGATATATTTCATTTAATTAGTTATTATTTTGTCAATTGCGTATAACATGGGGAAACATGTTTATTGCTACCAACAGTAGCTATTTTATAGAGTGACAAAACTTTACAATAACTATAATCACTATCTTGCTTGGAACTCTACAGACTGTTATGTGTAGTACCTGGAACCTTTGGTTAAATGCTGTTCTGATTGCTAATTCATTAACTTTCCATGGTAACCTGTTGGATAAAATTAAAGATCAATATTGTATGATAGTATAATCACTTCTCAAGAGAAAAACAAGTCTGAATGATATCTGCATTCTGATTTAAATATAATGGTATCCAAATAGCTGTAGTTGGCTTAATAATTTAAAATTAAATAAGCAATTAATCCACATAATCAACAAACTGCAAATCCAGATATCTAAAATGTGCTAACTTTCAGCCTACTCTGAAGAAAACTTTGATCTGAAACAATACAAAATAGGTTGTACAGATGAGTGTTCTTTCAATAAAATTCTTTTCATTAAGGATGCTGGAAATAATTTCAAATCCATATTATTCTACAGAAAGCAAAAACACGGGGTAATTCTGTCCTTATTGCATTCTCTTTAAAACTTCCTAGATTTGAATACTGTTTTTAGACCAAAGCTCTTTTCCTAAGATAGTGGATGCAAACAATTGGTAGGGTGACTGCTTGTAGTCAACCCACCATTATGCTTTGATTGATATATATTCCAGACCTTGTCCCAGACAAACTAATTGAATAGCATGTAAAAGAGAAAATTGATGAATGATTTCAGTATCTCCCAGCAATAGCCAGCAGGTGCTGTGAGAAATTGTGCATATTCTGTTAGCCAAAGAATTGCTGCTTAAAACTGTTTTATTAGTGATTCAGTATTGAAATAATAAATTGGTCAACAAGCATATGTTAAACACCTACTTCATATATATTATTAGGTTTTTTATGGTGAGAAAGTCAGTGATATTTTATTATAAAATATTTGATCCCACCCTTGCCTCTGAAACAACAAGACCTATGAGCCATAAACAAATATAGAATGAATGAGTGCTGATTTTTCTGGAGGTATAGCCTAGAACTCTAGAGGAAATCAGAGAAGACCAAGATGGTAGAGTGAAACCTGACAAGAGAGGTAGGTTTGGAGTTTGACTCCCTGTCTGGTAACATTATAAAATTATCAGACTCACTATAAAATGATCAGTCATAGATCCTTAGTATACAAAGATGTAATGGGGAGAATTTGAAGAATAAAATTTTCAATGAGGCCAACGTAGTATCTGAGATCACTGCCAACTCCTTCGCTACACTGCCTATTCTTTTCTAAGATGGCAACAGGTGTAGTTATATATCCTCATACTCACTATGTAATTGATACACAGCAGCCTGGATATTCATAATACACATGTGCTCTCTCTCTACTCCTCAAATAACCTTTCGTCGTCTGCCTCAACTCCCCTTACATGTAAACTCACAGTCTGTGACTTTCCTCCTATTGCAGTGAGTTAAAAGTTCCTAATCTTGTCTAGGGACGACGCCTCTGTTTTGCTTCCATGCAAATATCCCCCTTACTTGTTCTAAGACCTTGTTCCACACCAAAACGTGTTCTCCTCTGCATTATCAACCTCTCCTTTTCCATAGGCTCAATCTCATTGGCAATAGTACCCACCCTAGTGTTTCCCTTGACTTCTTATCCCTTCCCGGTCCTAGCCCATTTTTCTCTAAACTTTCAGGCAACCAGAAGCACTGTCTCAGTATTTCCACAACCCGTTCTTGCCTCACTTGACTCTAAATAGGTTTTCAACACCAAGAACTCACTGATCTTTCTGTTAAATGTGACTCATGTCCTCCATTTTTACATCTGATGGTCATGGTTCTGTCTCTGTCTTGCTTGATGTCTTCATGGAATTTGACAGAATTGAGTAATTTCTCTTTGCACATTCTGTGCTGTGGCTCCCCGGATGCCATGTTTAGGGTTTTCCTCCAGATTTTTGGACAGTGCTGCCCCAGTCCCCTTTGTTGGCTAGTTTTTTCTTTTCTTTTTTTTTTTTTTAAAGTGTATTTTTTTTGTTTGTTTTGTTTTTATTTATTTGTTTGTTTGTTTTGTTTATACAAGCACTGGGTACAGTCAGAAGCACAGGAGGGTGAGAGAATTCACCAGAGCCAGAGCGGGGAGCAGAGCAGGCAGAAGGACCGAAGCACACTGCTGAGGGGAGCAGCGGGCGGCAGGAGAGGTCTGCGCGCCATGTGGGACCCTCCTCCAGTGGCCGGGGAGCAGTCGGGGATCGAACTGGTGCTGCAGAGGCCGCGGGCAGCTTCGCAACCCAGCGCTCAACCGCTGCGCCACCGGGGAGGCCCTAGTTTTTTCTTTTCAATCTCACAATGGTGGGCTGCGTAAGACTGGGTCTTAGCCTCTCCTCCAGCCTCACTCTGTCTGGACCCAGTCTTACAGCTTTAAATATTGGTAGTAAACTGATGACTACCAGTTTTATAAATCCAACCCTCATTTGTCTGTCAGGCTTCAAATTATTATATCCGACTGTCTCCTTGACATATCATATAGATGGATTATAAACAGTCCAAGACTAATATGGCTCCAAACTAAATTCTTGTTTTACCTTTACTCCCTCTTACTCCTGCTTCTCCCCACCAAATATTTCTCCCATAGTCTTCTCCCAATTCTAGTCAGTGGCACCAAAGCAACCTTGAGCTTTACCTTACCTCCACCACATAGCCCGTCTAACCTATCAGTATGTCATATAATATATAGCTCCAAAATATATTCTGTGTTCATCCACTTCTCTTCATTGCACTACCACCACCATCATCCCTTGCTAAAATCACTAGAATGATTTCCTAATTATTCTTCTCACCTCCCTCTAACTCTACCAAAATTCAGCTACCAGCTCAATCTTTTGGAAAAATTAAATCATGGTGCTACCCTGCATAATATCCTCCAAGAATGTCCAACTACTCTTCAGGTGAACTCTAAACTCTTCTCATGCCCTAAATCTGTGCATGGTTTGAACTTGGCTGCCTCTCTGATCTCATTTCCCTGTTCTCCCCACTGCTTACTCCTCTCAGTGGCCTTCTTAGCATGCAGGTGTCACCTTGAGTGTGGCCACTTCAGTTTGTCCTTAACCTCCTAATCCAGTAGCCCATCCCCCCAACCCCCACACTCTTAGTTAAATCTTCTGGGTCTTTTTCTTCTCTAATATGTTTCCCACCTTGTATTTGGAGCTTATATGTCAATTGTCTTCACCCCCAGCTGAATGGAGGTTCACAGGAATAGGGGTATGTCTGTGTGTGCTCTGGCATGTGGTCGGAAACTGGATGTTAAATGATTGAATGAGTGAATGAGTGAAAGAATAAATGCCATTTTAACAACACCATGAAATAGGTATCCTGCTGTGGATAGTCTTTGACTACAGCATTTTCAGGATAGTGTTGCATGTAACTGGTTTGATTATTGAATTGAGGAAATGTAGCTCTTTGTATGTGTTTTCTATATAAAGTAGGAATAGAAAATTTATTTTCTTTAAAGATTTATTTATTTATTTATACAAGCACTGGGTACAGTTAGAAGCGCAGGAGGGTGAGAGAATTCAGCAGAGCCAGTGCAGGGAACAGAAGAGGCAGACTGACGAAATACACTGCTGAGGGGAGCAGCGGGCGGCAGGAGAGGTCTGTGCGCCATGTGGGACCCTCACCGGCGCCTGGGGATGGAACTGGCACTGCAGAGGCTGTGGGCAGCTTCGCAGCCCAGCGTTCAACCGCTGCGCCACCAGGGGAGGCCCAGAATAGAAAATTTAAATAAGTTATTGAGCAAGACAGATTAAAGTATGTCACTGGCATGATCAAATCCAATTGATGGGGGTTCATTTTACTTTGAATTGGGTAAAATAATTCAAAAGCAAAGGACTTCTGGTTTTTCTTTCAATCACCTACCTTTACCAAAGGAATTTTCAGTATGCTTCATGACTTACTAAGTGACTGAGTTATCGCTGTGCCTTATAGTTAACATTTTGTTTTCAAACAGACTGTACTCACCTATATTTGACACTGATATTATGACTTTATTAAATACGTCTTCAAATATTTTTTTGATAGTATATAACTGGTCTTTAACAACTAAAGAAGGGCATGCTGTGTTTTGGTATGTTGAT